CCCAGGTGGCGGAGCAACTATCAAGCCAAAGTCCACTATGTGTGATGATAGTTCAGCAGGACACAACCCGCACACCGTTTATGAAGCAATTAACGCACAAGAGGGCAACTCTCCTCAGTAGGGGAGTCTTTAATTGTCATAGTGGTACAGTATCCTAGTGACTGTAAATGCTGCAAGTTCCTTTGCATGAATTATCCGTTTCAGCTAATGTTTATGCTCAAGTTTCCGATGAAGAGTCTGCGGCGGACTTCGAAGGGCCAGGCAAATAAATATCTTGTCTCAGCGACCGCTTCTTCTTCTTCTTCTTCTTCTTCTTCTTCTTCTCAATTACTTCGCTTATATTGGCAAGAGCTGTAAACCTATACAAATGTTTCTAAACTACTGAAGGGATCTGAATGTTTCGGGGACTGCCGTGATCCGTACTCTATTTTAGCGGAATCTACACTCCAGGTGAAAAAAGTATACTACAACGATGTAGGGTAAAACATCTCTGGACGAATTTGAATTTCGGCAAAGTAGTTTAAAAGGATGCCTTACGCATGGTGAGGCCTAAGGAATAACGTAGACAAGAGGAGGGAAGTGGACTTACGTCTTAACCTTTGCTAATTTATTGGTAAGTGTTGGGTCGTTAACGAATTCACGGAAGTCAACCAAATTGGTAAGCCCCATTTGCGCCAGGAGGCCCGGTGCTGGGGTCTCCTGAGCAGCAGCGGAGGGGGCACATCCGACCTCCACTGCATAAAGCAGATTCTGTGGAGGTTTTGGATTGAGAAGGTTCCCGAAACCTCCTGTCTGACTTCCTGATGGGCCTGCGGAGTTGACTGCGTCGTTCCATATGGTCTGCACTTTCGAGTTAAGTACGTAATCGGTCATATTGATACCCGTAGTGTTAGTTATGTAGGGGCAGACCTCAACACCCGCAAATCCGTTCAGCGTGATTGCGAGGCAGGCGAAAATACCCAAGAGAAGGACGGGTAGGATGAGGAGGCAGGAACAACAGCAGAACTTTCCCCCACCACAGACACACGATTTCGCGATCCAAGGATCCGCGGCTGCAACTAGAAAAACAAACCACCTTGTATGATAATACAAACAAAAGGAGTATTTAAGGATAGATTTGAAAGGTAAGGGACTTCATGGTCCGAAGTTTTACACCCGAATCTACAATCGGAGAAGGGGATATCGTACTGTCGATACTTTATCCCATGAAGTGTCAACCAGAATTCTGAAATGGCTTTTCAATTCGAACGTATTGCCAAAGGAGTGTTGGTATATTAATTATCATGTAGCCCTATTTCAAGATATTTTAGTCACATGAACCAGCATCTTTCTGACCGCCTGCAAAGATTATATTCTGATAATAATGGCTACATAAGTAGTATACATTTTCTCATTGATTTTTACTGTTGCCCTGAATTTAAATATTTTTTATTGAAAACCATCCCAAGGTATCTCTACCTTTTGCACTCACTTGGTAGCAAATTACGCCTTCTTCAACTTTTATACTGGAAGAACGAAAATGTTTTTTTTAAATAAGTTTCTTAATTGTCCAATAAGTTTGAAGCCTGCCGGCCGTTACGCTTTAATTCAAAGTTTCCAAACTACATGCTGTATACATTCTGTCTAGGGAGAAGTAAATACCCCCCCACGATATGAGGAAGAAATAACATATTTCTCATAAAAGTGTACAATGGACGTGGTCCAAGTTGTATAATTTATAAGCAGCATAAATGAATTAATGGATACAGCGCATTGTGAATGGACATTTCATGGTCGTGAATAAGCATATAATTAGCAACCAAGAGCTACGCTTTTTCATGCATTAAATTTAACGAAGGTGTAATTTCCTACCAAACGAGTGCAAGAAAGGGAAACCTTTCTGCCTATTTTTCATAAAATTTTATTGGAATTTATAAGAACAGCGAAAATCACCGCGAAAATTCTTGCTGATTAAATAGCCATTTTTTTAGAGGATATATTCTTTCAAGCGATCGGAAAGAAGCTAGGTCAAAAGCTGGCATAACGACATGACTGATATATACTGAAATTAGACAGCACTTTAATCAATACTCCAGCGATTATTAATGTGTTCGAATCGAAGAAATTTCAGAATTAAAGCCTACATTTCATGAGATAGCGCCTTCACTACACAAGCAAAAGGTATAGAATGCACTTGTTATGCAACCAAAACCGCAACCACAACCGCACACAAACAAGGCATGTCGGCCATTAGTTTCGACGAAGTCCGCCGAGTACTCCACAGAAAGGCGGCATATAGATGGGACGAGCGGCTGAATTTGAGTATCAGGAAGTACCCATAAAAAAGAGAATTATTTGTTAAATTATTTTGAAATAACATTGCCAAAAAACACTATTCGACTTTAAATACTTTCTCAAAAGGAAGTGCACTAGTTGAAATATTTTTATATGCATTTGATACTGCTAAGCGCATCCAGCGATTTTTTTATCACTTCTACTTTCTGAAAAGTTTTTTTCTTTAGGTTTTCGCCTTCTTTGTTAATGCCACGGAGGGCTAGCGCGAGCTAGAAAGGACTTTGAGGCACCATCGTCATGCCATCCTTTTTCAGGAACGTTCTCGGACGCTGTGTTGGTAGGCACATGGTCATGACGAAGCAACCAATCGCACTGGCTCAGGTTACTGAGGTACCAAGAAGAACCAAGTCAAAATTAGCAACTGCTTTGATGTTGAAAAAACAAAACCATCCTGGATACAAGTTTACCATGATAAAAGAAGCACCCTATCTGCTGGCAGGGTTTAAAAATGAAAGTAAGAAGAGTGTCTAATTAATGTACCTAGCGGTAGAGGGCAGCTCTACGAACACAACTGTCTAGAGAAAATAATAATTATTTTTCAGGTACCCTCTCGTACGTTGAATGTATTGAACTGTTTCATCCATCCTCCACCTGCGTCCGATGTCATTAACACGCTAAGAAGCATGGGAGCGGGTGGGGGTTAGGTGCCTTCCGCGCCGCTACACACGCACTCAGACCTAAAGACCAAGGTTATAGCGTGGGCAGCAATCTGCATGGCTCGTGGCTCTCCCATCCACATTTTCTTAGCGAATGTAATGCCCCTCTCTCTCACTCTCTTCCTATTCAGCATAGTCTTGCTTGAGAAGACGAGTCTGTCATTCGAAAATCGCCCGTGACTAGGATACAAGAAATCCAGCAGTCATTGCACTAATTACGAACGTTTGCAATAACTGCAGAAACTGCAAATATTTGTTTCAGAAGATGAATTGGCAAAAATACGTTTGTTTTCGATAATTCTCATCAGGCCTTTACATTTATATGGTAATTCAGTTAATAGACTATGCGGGTTGGTAGAAAAAGAGAACGGTTGTCAGGGCAGGGGGCATGGGGGGAGGGGCAGAATGGGGCCAAAATTTGATCAGCGTC